ATTTGGTAGCAAGTGGTAAGTCACTGTGAAAAACGGGATCATACACTGCAGAAATAACATGTATGAGGTGGGTTGGAGTTGTAAACATGTGTAAGCCTGCAAGAACCTAAGCAGCAGAAGTGGAGGCAGCAGAAGCTGGGACAGAAAGGGCTGGTTCATGCCCCTGCTCACAGACATTGCAGGGCCAACTTCTGGGAAGAAGGACTGATCTTCCTGCTCCTACTGGATTTTAATAAATGCCTTCATAAACTGGAGAATAAGCCCTGATTTATGTCCTTCCCTGCCTTTTTAACTTTCCAGACTAATATCCAGCAGTAGTGGATTTATTGTCTTTGGTCTGAGTACCTTCACAGGGAAATAAGAATTCATAATCTACAGAGATAATATATACTAGAATGAAACTGTTCCACTACTGTGCCTGCCAGAGGCCAGACAGAAAGATAGAGATATAAAGCTTGCCGTAGTTGTTCATTTCTCCCTTGCATTTGGCTGCAAAGGAGTAGTCACACCTGCTCAGTGGACCGTGCAGGTATTATGAATCTTTGATCCTTCTGAACCTTTACTGATTTACTACAGAAACATTCTATTATTCTTTTTGTGCTAGTAAGAGAGAGGGGTGAACTTCTATAAAAGTATAGTTTTAGCTTTATATTTGCTTTAATTTTTTGTTAAGTTCCTAACTAAAACACAGTTAAATTGCCCTGGGGTTTGTTCAAGTTTGCTGTCAATTTTGTAAAGTCTCCCAGTGAAATTGTGCCTCTTGCAAAGTGTAATAAAATTCCAGTTTAACCTGCAGTCGGGCCAGACTTGTGCCCATTAAACTTGTATTTCAGCTGTGCTGTCTTTTTTTATGGCAGCTTGAATAGAGACCAGGGAGAAACATAGTAAGAAATTGTCTCCTTCCTCCCCATTATTTAGTTACTTGACATCTGGCTCAAATGTGTATTGCAGGCTCCTCTTCAGGCCTTCTTTCACTCCTTCCAATAAAAGAGTCTGCCTTTTTCAACAAGGGGATAAGTTTTTAAAAAAACCATCTATAGAAAATCTCAAGTTATAAACACATCTTTTCCAAGGAAGAGACATTTTAACATCTAGCCCTGACAGCTTCCATGCACAGCATACTTCTTGATTTCGTAACAGGCAGAGATTAATGCTGCCCTTCTATTATATGCTCTGGGATCTGTGTGTACTTCTCTGTCGTCAACCTCCTCATGAACTGCTGCTTATTAGCAGTGAAGGCACAGACGTCTTTGTGTTTGCACGGCTCAGCTGAAGGACAGGGAGGATGGCACAGATAGCGACACAGACAGTTCTGAGCATCGCTTTGTACCGAAGCAAAGCTCCAGCTGATGATTTTTTTTCTTCCTTTTTTTTTTTTTTTTTTTTTTTAACTGGAACATATGTAATTCTGCAGTAGAGAGCAGACTCTGCTCCCAGTTGCACACAGCCCTAAAGCATTTGTTCTGCGCTGAGGAATTTGGGACTTTTTAGTAGAACTTTGGGTTGCAAGGAGTAGCTGGCCTTTTCTTGCCAGATTGACTGTTGTTAAATACATAACAGGCATAGAAAAATAGTAGTATTATGCTTCCAAACAGAGTAACTAGAGAACCTAGAATTAAAGACCACTGTCTCATTCAAAGGGCTGGATGAGTATTGTTCATGTTATGTATTGCCATTCAGTATATTGTTTTTCTTCCTTGTTCATGTGAATTCATGCTTTGTTACTATGCCCAACTCAGTTCTCACTCTGAAGTGAGAGTTCTCAATTTCTTTCTGAACTAGCAAAATTTTATCACTGCAGTATATCACAGCTTCAAAAAACTATGTAGCTTCCATGCAGTATTGTATTCAATTCCATTCTGTATGTAAGCGGGGGAGTGTTAAATCTGAAGAAACCCCACTGGGTTTAGATCTGTCTGGGGTGACTTAAATTTGCTGCGGTTTGGGGTTTTCTTTTCTTTGAGGAACTGAAAGTATGAAATGTCATTATAGGCTGTAATCACAGCTTGTCTCGAATGGTAACCACAGCTGGGAATCCTGCAAATCAGACCCTTGGATCCCAAATTGGGCAATCAATTAGAGTTGCATCCCAATGGCTGTGTCAGTAGTCAAAGAGGATAGCAATTGAGAAGAAGGCAGGAGAGAGCAGCAGCCTCAAGTCAGCCTTCGATGAAGAAACAGTGTGACAACTTCTGTTAAATTTAAGAACATCTTGCCCTTAGTTACTGTCTGTGAAATACAGTTATTGGTTCTATGCTCTAGAGTAGTAGTTTTTCTGTGCTGTCAGATGATCCCTGCTGCAATTTATAGTTCCTGCTGCTGCATGATGTCCTGGTACATCCTGACTCCATGTAGGAGGAGGTCTGACTTCCTTCCCTCAGTTCCCCCCACTCCTAAGTTTCCTTTACAGGAAAGTGGGATGCCTGTGAGGGGAAGGACCTGTGCAGCTAGTGAATGCATCTTCCTCTTGATTAGGCTGTGGCTGACAGGGAAATCCTGAAAACAAGACTTGAATGGTCTGTATGGCAGACTGGGGATTAAAAAGCACAGTTCTCTCTTCAGCTCTCTCTGTCTGTGCCTTGGCATCAGTCAGAGCACACTTTCCAGCATCAGTTAACTGAGCACCTCCCTGCTAATTGTTCGGATTCCCCTAGGCCAGAGGTGTTGGCTGCCTGGCCCCTCTGTTGCTTCGCACCAAAAGGGCTCAGAGCAGACAGGCTGAGGAACATAGCTTTAGGAGCCTGGCATGTGTCTATTGAGTATGTGAAGCCTTTTTCCATTATGCATGTGTTTTCCAAGTGCTTGTCTGCTGTCAGGTTTCCTGTTGCTACCCCTAGTGTCTGCCAGGTATAGCTTTATCACTCCTAAAATTTGTACTCTTAATTTCAGAGGTACTGTTAAGTCTGTGGAAGAAGAGATTGCCATATTTTCTCAATATAAGAGGCTGTGTCTACAATGAAAGTTTTAGATACCTTCAATAAGCAATTAAACAAATTTACAAGGGTAAAAACCTCTGGACCTACTCAGCCCAAAGATATCTTTTCCCTGCTCTGGGTGTCCTTGAGAAATGGAACTGTGGGAAGAGACTCTGGGTGATACTGTTAACTGTGCTTAAAGTTCGTCTTCCTTGCACAGCTGTAATTTTGTCCTATCTAAGGTGGAATGCTGTATGAGGCAGACCTTTGGTCAGACCTGGAGAAGCCATTCCTGTAGTCAGCTATGTTGCTGTATTACGCTATAGGAAGAGCTTCAACAGGTCAACCCAAAAGTCCTGCTCCCTCTACTCCAGTGTTGATCTTCAAAGTCCTTGAGTTGTCTTGGATGAACTTCAAATTGTAGCATGTCCTGAAGCAGACACACAGTTAGGAAAACACCCAACTGATTTTCGAAGTGTGGTAAAGGTTGTTAAACATTTGCAAAATACACTCTTGCAGTGAGAAGTACCAGCATCTGTAGTTACCCTGCTGATAATACTTCAAAGCTGCTGTGGTCACGTTTGAAAGACAAAACATATGGAAGGGATAAAAGGAAGTCTTGCAAGTTGATATTTAGGCTTACAATCACAGCACTGGAGCATGCTGATTAAAACGGTGTGCCTCTGGCAGTAGGCTGCTGGGGTTGGGTAGAAGAGCTGTGCCTCTTACTCTTGCACCTCTGTGTGTGTGGGTGGGTGGGTACATGCATGTGCACACACCTGGAGAGTGGCAGGGCAGGTCTTTCTTGTGGGGTGTCAGGGCTTGCTGAGCTTGCCTTCATTTCCTCCTCTGCTGTTAGGTGGCCTGAAATAGTTTAGTATGGGTGAATTCTCTGAATATATCACAAAAGTCACAAGCCTGATGAGATGTATAGGGGCAGCAGGGTGTTGTGCACGAGAATGCTGAAGCAGCGAGAAAATATTTCTGTAGGTGGCTGACATCCTCATGTATTGGATGTATTTTCATGAAGTTGAGCACTGTTTGGGAACAATAATCCAGTGGCTACGTGCATTGCTGATTTTAAAACGTGATTTGCAGAAGGTGAACTAACCATAGATTTTACTTGGCTTTTTTCTCGTTTTCTGTAGTTGTTTCTTGGATCAAGTCTTGCTGAGACCAGCCTTTAACTTAGTAGTAAACATTTCTAAATTTGGAAAGATCACTCCACTGATTTTAAGTCATACAAACAGTAAATGTGTCTGCGTAAGCTTTTGTTATCTCCGTATTTATAAAATAAAGCTTTTAAACTTTGGTTTTGTATCGCACAGAGGTGATTGATGTGCCAAGCTGCCCCTGGCAGGTCTGCCCGGGGTGGCTTCCTCCATGTTAGTTATTCCCTTTTACAACACTTCAAAAATAGCCAAGGTTTTCATGCTGGGAGGAGGCAAAGTTAGCAAGAAACACTCCTTTCTCATGCTCTTCTGAAGGCAACCACCTTCAAAAGGGTTTTAAATGTGTATGGTTTAATATCTTATGTCAGCTAAAGTTCTCAAAGGGCTTAGTTTATGATTAAGGAAAGTTAGATGCTATTCCACTCTTAGGGAAGCCTAGGGGGAAAATGGGTTTAGCCTAACATTTTGAATAGCTGTTTGATGAAGCTAAAAACAAAACCAAAACTCTTGTGTTTATTATTTTGGAGGGTTGTAGTAATAGGTGTGGTTTCTGTCTGTAAAACTTTTAATATTAAGGGCCAACAAGTGCTTTCTGTACAGGTATTATGACACTGAATTAGGTACACAAACGCCTCCATAGTTATTTACTATTTCTAGAGAGCATGTGATAAAAAGATCGTTTTTAATTTAACTTTGGCTGCCACACATTCTTTTCATTCTCACCTGGTGAAATGGGGTGTCTTTCATGGCAGGTTCAGGACACTCTCAGCAATCTTTCATCTTCTTGTTTGGTTGCTAATAACCAGAAAAATTGGCTGAGCAAAATGGTGAAGACGTTGAGCCAGCAGTTGCCACAGTGACAGTTGTCCAATATAAATATCTTACAATTCTTCTGTTTATCATCTGTTTTCAGGGCAGTTTAAGCTGCTGGAACAAGATCGAGATATTAAGGAGCCAGTACAGTATTTTAACAGTGTGGAGGAGGTGGCTAAAGCATTTCCTGAACGAGTTTACGTCATGGAGGAAATAACATTCAACGTTAAGGTAGTCCCTGAATAAATATTTATCCCTGTCTAAATGATTAACTGTTACAACCTTTATATACATGGCAAGTGAGCAACGGTGCTGTGTGGGAAGTGTGATTTTTGAGACAAACGAGCCTTTGGTGTTGCACATTCAGTGATGGTGGTCTTCAGGATCATTTTTGTAGTCTTAATCAACGTGTCCTCTAAGGGCTCTCCTGCCCTATGGCACTTTGGGGAGCAGTCCTGATGATCCATTCAATAATTCATCTAATTAGGATGCTCCTGCCAGATTTTAAACAAATGTTGTTTGTTGCCCCCTTTCTCCTCCCCCTCCAGCAGTCTGAATTTCATTCTCTGCTAAGCAGCAGCTGCTCAAATCCCTGTCCAGAAAGCCTCATTCTCAGAGAGCACACAGGGTGAAATGATGGGGTTGCTTGTCTCAAAATTACTGTAGCTAAATAGCATTGTGAAGAAAACAAAACCAAAAAAAGAGACACTTGTTCTTTGTGTGCATGTGTGTTTGCATGTGCATGCCTCTTGGGCTCATCAAAGGGTCACTGATCCCACAAGTGTAAGAGGGCTTGCTCTCACCAAACACACTGCCATGCAGTGGCATGAAACAATGAAGAGAGAACTTGTTCTTCCTTGTCCCACCTATATGTGTGACACTCCACAAGGCAGGTCAGCTCTGCTATCAGAGCAGAGTGGTCTTCAGGCTCGTCTGGTTTGCTTGAGTTGATACACCATCTCAGACTAGTAGAAGAGCATCCTAGAGCTGGAATGCAATGGTGTAGGTCCACATTGTATACCCTACAGGTTGGGTAGCTATATCCAGCTGGGAACCAGTATCAACCCTACTGGTTGATACTGCTGGTACAGAACCAATATAGAATTTCCGGGTCCCATGTGTAGCAAGATGGGGTTTGTATAACAACCTTTTAATGGCTTTTTCTCTTTCTTGCACTGCTACATTTGGGGGACACCAGCTAGTTTTCAGTTTTTATAGGTGCTGAAGATTGCTGTAAGTGTAAGAGCTCATTGCTTAATTTAGTGGCACAGAATCATGCCTTTCAAGACAGTAGGTTGTTTTCATCTGTGCTCCCTATTAACCTGAACCTAAGAGGCTTTCATGAATGAAGGCTACATGAAAAAGTTGGAACACTTTTGCAACTTTAGGACTTAGTTGGGCAAATCAGGGTAACAAGAAAATTTCACTTCTGCCCAGAAAAAACAGTCTTGGGGCTGCTAGTCTAATCCTGTGTTGTGCCATTATTTCTCATTTGATCAATGACCAGATAAAGAGAGTGGTACAGTAAAATGTGCAGCTTTGGTTTTCTAGGGAGAAAAGTATTCATCCATAGGCTTGTTTAAATGTAAAGTGCTGTATCTTGAGTTTAATGTGGGTGTTTTTAAAACTCTTTGTCATATTTAGCAAACTGAGAAATAAGCATAGCTTACTGTTAGATATGAAATCCATTTTTAAAAGGTATTACAGTGATACTCCTTAATGTAAATAACAGTTATAATAATCCAGGTTTAACCTAGTTACACAGTTATCTTGGCAGAATTCCTCTTGGCAGTTTTTACAGTTTCATAGGAGTCTATTCCAAGGTTATCATCTTCCAAAAAATAAATGAACTTAGCAGGATTTATTAAAGTGTTTAATAACCCTTTACATGCAAGAGAATTATGTAAGCTAAAATTTTAATATAGGAGAGATTCTGTCAAGCTGATTAGAGCAAAGGGAGGAATACTAAGTATGGTTGATTTCTGTCCAATGCAGTGTGCCCATTTAAATTCAGAAGAGAGTATCAGAAGGTAGCTAATCCGATATAAAAAGAAAAAAATGCCTAAAATATCTGATGAAGCATTTAAGATGAGAAGGAGCTCTGAAGTCTGAGAATTCTTTCTTGTTCCAGACACTCAAGTCTTTCATGGATAATTTTTGAAGAAACAGCCTTTAGAGTTACAAGGTGCCACCAGACAGTCACTGCATGCTTTTGTCTGGGCTCATTGAGGTCTGCCTGCAAGTGCCAGTATGCCATGGTTCTGGTTCCACTTGGTGCAAACCTTGTTCCTCTGCATAAATCCTTTGCTGCTCCGGCAGGATTTCACAGGTAGTGCTGCCGTTCGGCAAACTGCCTGCTCGCTGTGACAGGCTGTGGAACCTTCTCCCGGGGGGTTACTTAATTTGTGCTTTGAGCAACAGTTGTTAAAGGGAAAAATCAGCCACCTTATCCCGGGGAGGCAGGGGACATGGGTCTCCCCATGGTTGTGCAGCTGAGCGGGCTTTCTGGGCAGTGTGCTGAGGCAGGGGGTTTTGGACCTGCTGGGTATTTGAAGGACAGCTGTAACACATGCTGTCAAGTACAGCTAGGAGAGGAAGGTGTAGTCACTTCACAGAATAGCAACAAAAAATTTAGATTCAATAAAACTTTTGTAATGGCTAAAACTCCTTCTGATAACCTCTACGTATGTATCTTGTACCGTGCTTGGATACCTGGTTGGTTGGCTCACATACCTGGTGGCCAGTAGCAGCTCTGCAGGCAGAGCAGTTTAGAGTGTTCTGGGGATAAGTGCATTTCACTCAGTCAGTGGAGATTTAATCTGTTCCTGACTGGAAATTAGAGGCAGTCTGTTGTTTTCACCCTGTCCAGATAGGTGTGAACCTTTTTTATATTAATATTCAGTGCATAATTGCAGGGAATTTTATTTATGTAACAGCATTCTACTACAAATATGAGAATTTTTTTGTTCTCTATTACTAGGAACAGAAATACTAAGAAAGTTGAGCTACCCCGGCACCCTATCTTGCTGAAGAAACAGCAGTAGATTTCTGCAGTTGACTGCTGTGGTCCCATACAGGTGTCAGTCTGTACAAATATCCAGGAAGCTATTTGCACTGAGATCCAAAAATAAAACCAGGAACAAAAGTCCCATATCACACCAAGGACAATTCACAAAAAGTTCTCTTAAAAGGCAACGATATTGTCTGATAGATTGAACATTGGACAAGCCATGAATTCCTGCACTCTAAAAACTAGCCCCCTTAGTATTGCAGGACCCTTCAGATCTTCCAGGATATCATTTTTCTCCTGAACACATGACTCAGGTCACAGAATAAATCTGTAGTGAAAACTTGGCTATTTTCTTTTTCCTTCTTTTGCTTTTTTTCTTTGTTTGTTGTGGGCATTTTGGGGTTTGGTTTGGTTTTTTGACAAGTGTTAATGCAAAATTATCTTCTGATTGCAATTCAATTGCCTCTGATAAACTCACCCTGAGTTTCCATAAAGTGCATATGTAAAAGGTTGTAATGTATAGTGGCATTTTAAGAGCTGCAATAGCAACTTTCTTGAAATCAATCTGTGTGTAGGTTTTAGCTCCCAACTTTCAGGCAATTCATAGTACTTCTCATCAAGAATTAGTGATTTAGTCTCCTCATTACCTTGTGGCCTGATGCCAACCTTATGAATCTGTGAGTCTCAACTCCAAGAGGGATTTTTTTGCTTTTTCTTCCCCTCTGTCCCCAGTACACAAAGGCTCAACTCCTTGGTCTCTGGCATTGACAGTGCACTACTGTGGCTGCCTCTTTTCTCCAGCATCTGGTGGGTGGTTTGAGTGAGAGGGAAGCAGAGAAAGCAGACCAGCTGCTGCATGCCTGCATTGATGTACCTGCAAGAGGGTTTCTGCTCTGAAAGGAGCCTAGATAGTGAGCACCATTGCCTGACAGTGGCTCTGTGAGGTGACCTTCATGATGTCCCACATGAAGAGACGCTTCATGTTATTACTCTGCAGTATTACCTGCCACATTTGGGGTTGGTTTTGGAACACTGATTTATTTGAGACATCCTTAAAGAGCACTAAAGTCAGCTTTTAATGTAGCAATCAGGGCAAACTCCCTCTTAGTCCAGAGGGAAATACATGTGTCCTAACATGAAGAGTCTTACTTGCTGATTCTGTCTTGGGAGACAGACATTTATAAAAGAAAAATGGGATACTGTCTCACTGAATTTAATCAACTTCCTTGAAAAAGTTTGCTTATTTTTTTTTGCTAACAGCTCTTCTGAAGACTCCGGTTTACTTTTTAAAAATCTTTTCCCATTTTTGTGGCATGTAAAAATAATCTAGTATATATTATGTATTAAATATATGTGTAGTGCTATGATTGGTCCTTTGGCTCTAATAGTAAAAACCATATGCAGAGACATTACAGTTACAAAGAGCTCTACAAAAAAATTCTAATTGTATTTTTAAAGTGCTTGCATTACTCTAATAAAATCTAGCAGGTATAGCAAGCAATATAAAGCCACAAATCATTTTTATAAGGTGTTCATATGTGTCCAAGTGATTAAATACTTCTGTTTTGAACTATGACAAATTAGAACAATTGGAGTCTAAGACAGGATATTGACTCAGGTGTTATCAAAATCTATTATTCTGAGTTAACCTTCCCATAAGCACAAGAAACAGTATACTTGAGCTTTCCCAAATGAACATATTTCCTAAATAATTGTTCGTCACTTTCCTGATGCCTGTCTTCTGCGGGAGATATAGTTGGCTTCTGAATGTTCCTGAAATTGCACGAGTCTTAAGATTTAAAACATTACAGTGACTTAACCTGCTGTTTTGCAGTGTGTTTGATAAGGTGCCTGTAAGTCAGTAACCTTTCTGGTCAGCATCGTGGCATCAATAGAGAACATTTAGTATGGATCAACATCTGGCAGTAGGGAGAGGGAGGGCAAGGACAGGAGAGAGTAGAGTCTGGTTTGTGGGTCCTCTGCATTAGGAGTTGTTCAGTTTGAACATCTGCTAGTGATTTCTAGATAGCTTTGGAGCATAGCGTGGCAAGCACTGCCTTTCACAAATCTGGGAGCACTGATTATATTCACCTATTACCACGGAATAAAAACTGACTGAGAAGGGCAAAAGAGGGGCAAGGGCAAAGTAGAACTGCAGGAGTCATTCCTACCATGTATGAAACATTGTTATCATTCATAGAGGCCTCCTGGGTATGCAGTGCAGCTGAATGAAGGCTTCTCAGGTGCTTTCTGCCTTCTGTAGAGTTACCTGTTTTCCAGAATTATTACAAGTTTCTAACAGTTTTCCACAAAAATATGAGATTATTTCTTCATCACTCTGTGTTCTGCACCAGCGTAACTCTGCTGCTCTGCAGCGCTGTCTCCTCTGTCATATACCAGTGATGTGCTGTGTCGCATGTGCTGGGGGCCCCTGCCACTAGCAGGTCCAAGTGTCTGACATAGGGTAAGGCTCTGTTACACCCTGCTAGCTAGCACTTGCACAGAGAGAAGCAGAGAGTGCCCAGGACATGCTCTCAGTGGGGCTATGAAGGAGTGTAAGGGGTGTTTGAAGATGCAAATTCTGCTGGGTCAGTGTTGGAAGCTTAGAGGGTTGAAGGAGATGGGTCTGCTGTGGTGTTACCCATTTTGCCTTCTAGGAATAATTTATGATGTGCACTTTCATGTTGTCTTTAAGTGTACTATTTGGCATAGAGCCATAGAATCATTTGGGAAAAATCTTTGAGATCATTGAGTCCAACCACTAACCCAGCACTGCCAAGTCCACCAGTAAACCATGTCCCTTAGCACCACGTCTGCACATCTTAGAAATTCTTTCAGGAATGGTGACTCATCCACTTCCCTAGGCAGTCTGTTCCAATGAATGGCAACCCTTTCAGTGAAGAAATTTTTCCTGATATCCAATCTAGACCTCCCCTGGTGCAACTTGAGGCCATTTCCTCTTGTCCTATCTGTTCTGAGAAGCTGCTGTGCTTGAGTGATTTCTGGGCTTATAGAACCCCTGTGAAGTTCACCAAAGGCAGTGTAAAGCCCAGCTAAAGTCCCCGGCTCTTTGTTGATGTTTTTAGTAAGTCTTTTGGCTGTTGATAAAGTGAAATGTTTGAGTGAACTAGGCAGAGCAAATTTGATTTTCATAGGTCATTGCTACAAGGACAAAGTAAAGATCACTTAGCTGTGTAATCTGAGAAACAAAAGCTTAGCGATATCTGCATTGATACGTGCAGTATGATATGTATTGAGATAATATATATATGAAGTATGTATGGTATATCTTTGCTAATATTCTGGGACACCTATTTATCTACCATGTATGCTTTATAATGTTTATTACTGTGTGGTAATGAGTGAATGAACCTAAAACAAGAAGCGAGGAGTTAGTTTTCTTGACTTTCAGAACTTACATTTTCAAGGATAGTTAGCCTACTGTGATGTACCAGGAGGTGTACTACATCACCACAGTAGAGTTTAGGGGATAGGGATAGAGCTGTGCAGTGTTAGGCTTTTCATTTGACTTCTTCAGTTTGTTATTACAATTTTGGACAGCAACTGATACCTTATATTTTTGTTTAGAAGGAAGAATGCAGAACAATATTTTTCCAATACCAAACTTCTGCCAAACTAGAACCATGGCATCATCTTTCTTTTGTTCCAGTATAGTAAAATTCAGCCTTATTTGTCCTGTTATTATCCTGTGGTTGTATTTTTTTGAAACGACAAAACATTTTTCAGACTTTTTAACCAGGAATATTTTTGTCTTTAAATGCGTCTCTTGACTCTAAAAGTCCATTTGCTATTTGACTGGTTGAAATGGATATTATTAATAAGTAGCTGCTTTGTGAGACCTTCGTTGTGAAGCTCAGCCATTTAGTTATCTCTGTGGTTTCACATCTGACCCACTGTTTCCTTCTACAGTGGCTTGTTTGTGAATCACCAGGGAACAGAGAGTTGGCCAAACAGGAGCTCCCACAGCTGTAGGTTGTGACACCTTCCTCACTTCAGACAGTGTCTCAGGGGAAGTGAGAAAGAGTTGATACTGTACTGTCTTGAGTGCAAGTGTCCAACAGCATAGCTGGCATTGTCAAAGCAGCCATTGCGGGGACTCATCAGTGTTAGAAAGCAGTATTCTTAGAGATCACGCCCTCTCAGAAAGAGAAGGAGGAGATTGCATGGTACATGCACAGAGCCCTGTGTGTCCTCAGCCCTTATCAGCCCCACCAGAGGGGCAGGGCTACATGGCTGCAGCTCAAACACAGCACTCTGTGGTGGTTTTGAGAAGAACCCAGTAATGAACGTCACACTGGCATTATCAGCAAAAGAAACCCAAGTGTTTGCCTTTCATGTCGTAGTGTTTCAAAATGCTGTCAGGCCAGTGGTGCAAACTATGAATGAGTATTACGTATCATAAATCCTAGTAGTTTCCTGGATTAGACCAATCAGTGTTTGTTTAGATAATTCAGGGCTTGAACGCCTTCCTTTCCGGAAGCTCCAAGCCTGAAGCACTAAGGCGGCACACCTTTGCAATTGCTCCGAAAGTCTTGTGGAAGGTAATCACAGTTTTACAAATACGATGGAATTGCAGATCACGTCTTACAAGGGGAAGCATTATTCACAGCACCTGTCATTTATTAACTTACTGCAATTAAAGCCTTGATTTCATGTAATGGCTATTATGTGATGACACCAAAGTTTGAAGCTTGGAATTTGAACTTCACATGGCTCTGTGAAGTCTTTAGGAGTTACGGAGTTGAGGAAGGGATATACAATTTTAGCATATGTTTTCACTTGCAATCTTTTTAATAAGTCCAGTATTTTCAAATTTTCTAACAGGCCAGTGGTGTTTATCTGATGCAGCTTCCTTTATGAGTAGGTAGCTGCTGCTGCTGCGGAAGAGCTGGGTAGGTTCTGTTAGGTCCCTGAAAAGGGCTTTTTATATTAAACCACTCAAATACAAAGCAGTGCAATCTTGTCTATAAAGAGTTATTTTAGTCTTAAGGAAATAACTTCAGGAACAAATGAGCCTTGGACATCTGTTTTGTCTTTTTTTTTTCCCTGGTACAATTTCCATACTAGAAAAACTCACACATGGCTGCGCATATGTTGTTTAATCTCTTAAATTGCAATTATGATCAAAAAATGAGGAAGGAAGTCTATGACTAGGAGAGCAAAGCAGAGCAGGAGTTAGGCATATGGAATAGACCAATATTCTTGACTTCTCCTTCAGGGAATAGATGTCATCTGTCATTCCCCCTAGCCTGGAAAAGATTATATCAAAAGGATATGCTTCATCTGTAATGATGAGATCACCTTTTCTGCTCCTCAGGGAACTGAAGATGGTGAAAGAAGTTTGTTTCCCTCAAGAGCCTGGCAAATAAGTTCTAACAAACAGCAAAAACAAGGGTGTGGGGAAAAGATACCCAGGGGAATCCAGACATGGTCTGTCACAGCTGTATGAAACAAATGGCTATTTAAATTGCTGGGATATGTGAATTTGTCCTGTCTTTAAAAAATGGTTATGTTTTTTTCCTGCCTTCTTTAGCAGTTTCAGGTGGCTGTTTCCTCTCAAGTAAGATGCAGGAGCATGCAGAAGAATAAAAACAGGTCACATAGCTGGGCTTCAGGTTAAACACCTTGCACTTGACCAATCAGCTGTTAAAGTTACTTTCGTTTCTCCCAATATATAGTCTTGTAAGTCCAGTCTCAATAGATTTGATATGATTTGAAGTATTGTCTTCCATGGGGGAAAACTAATTTTTTTTATTATTATTTTGCAGGTGGCTTCAGGTGAATGCAATGAAGACACTGAAGTTTACAACATTACGCTTAGTACTGGGGATGAGCTCACTTTAATGGGGCAAGCAGAAATCCTTTATGCAAAATCTTCTAAGGAGAAATCACGACTCAACACCATCTTCAAAAAAATTGGCAAACTAAATTCCATTAGTAAGCTAGGCAGAGGCAAAATGCCCTGCCTCATCTGCATGAACCACAGGACCAACGAGAGCATCAGTCTCCCTTTCCAGTGTAAGGGCAAGTTTAGCACCCGCAGCCCACTGGAGGTGCAGATGCAAGAAGGTGAGCACACAATTCGCAATATAGTAGAAAAAACCAGGCTGCCCGTGAACGTGACTGTGCCGAGCCCCACACCAAGAAACCCTTATGACCTGCATTTTATCCGTGAAGGGCACAGGTACAAGTTTGTCAACATTCAAACCAAGACTGTGGTTGTTTGTTGTGTGCTCCGTGGAAACAAAATTATTCCCATGCATTTTCCCTTGCACTTGACACTTCCAAAATTTATTCTACCTGACAGTCTGGTAAAGGGGGAGATGTGGCACGAATCCCTCATCCAGCATTGGTTTAATATATGCCAGGAACAGTTTGACATAGACGAGTATTCCCGTGCTGTGCGAGATGTGAAAACTGACTGGAACGAAGACTGCAAGAGCCCAAAGAAGAGCCGATGCACAGGGCACAGCCACGTGCCGAACTCCCTCAGCTATGCGCGGGACGAGCTTACACAGTCCTTCCACCGGCTCTCGGTGTGTGTCTATGGAAACAACTTGCATGGGAATAGTGAGGTGAACCTGCATGGCTGCAGGGACTTGTGCAATGAGTGGGCCCTGTTCTCTCATGATGCTCTTCAGTACCAGGAGTCTGGTGACAGCGGCAGCGATTACCTTTTTCCCGAAGTTAGCGAAGAATCGATGTTTCTGCCAACAAAACCGGAACTTCCTTATGAAGAACTCTGGTTGGACCAGGGGTCTGGAAAGGGTGGTGAACAGCCTCTCTCTTGCTCACTAAGTGAGAAGAACAAATGTGACAATTACAGAGGGTCTTTCCGATCAAAGTGTGGTACTGCATCTCTTCCTGTGCCTGCAACTGTTGGAGCAACCACAAAATCTTCAGATGTTTCCCTACCTCCACCTCCAGTGCCTCCAAAATCAGAAGCAGTAAGTCAGGGGTATTTATATTAGCTTGTTTCTCTTTTCAGAAGAAGAGTTGAAGAGTTTGCTTGGGGGTTTTTTGGGGGAAGAGTTGATGGAGGCAGTGGAAGGGCATATACAGGGCAAGGATATTACGAGACTTCGAGAGATGTGCAACTTCATCTAGTTTGCTACCAAGTGTAAATCATGTTGTAAAAGTCACCAGAGTATATTTAATAATACCAATCTAGTAGCTTAATCCTGCTACTTTCAGGTGGTATTTATTGGGGGTTTTGTGCTTACACAAACAAGGTCTAAGAATTCCTGAGCCACTTCCTTCTCTTGCTTTCCACATCATTTCTCCATCTATCACCCATGTTTTCTCATGTTTTCTGTGGCCAAAGTGTGTGGGGCATGACACCACTTAGAACTGCCTCAGATGACCTTAGTGTATGCATCTTCAATTAACAGGCTCTGATAATGAGGACAGCTAGAATTTTTACAGATTTTAAGTGCTTGTTATTGAGAGATTGTCTTCCCAGTCATGAGTCTATGGCAGATTTAGGAGAATATTAAGTGTCATTGTCCTCAAGGAAATTTTATCAAACTAGACCTGATCTAATCACTCTGTAGTGCTTATTGAAGTAAAATATGTTTAAACAAGAACTCTGCAGAATTGGTAAATGAGCCTTCTAGAGGAGTGAGTTTTAAACAGAGCATGTTTCCTGGCCTAGGGTTTCTCGTGAAGACTCATGGGAGAAATTACTTCTCCAAACCTGAAATGTCATGGAGACTTCAGAGGCAAAAATACAAATATGTTTTATCAACAGGAGTTTATGTGGACTGAGTGGAGAATCCACCCATTATGTGGTCTCTTGACATAGTCCTAAACATTATTTTCTTAAAAAACAGAAAAGCATGTTTCCTGGCCTAGGGTTTCTCGTGAAGACTCATGGGAGAAATTACTTCTCCAAACCTGAAATGTCATGGAGACTTCAGAGGCAAAAATACAAATATGTTTTATCAACAGGAGTTTATGTGGACTGAGTGGAGAATCCACCCATTATGTGGTCTCTTGACATAGTCCTAAACATTATTTTCTTAAAAAACAGAAAGAAGAAGATTC